ACCTCGACTCACCGTGCCATGGGCTGGCCCTGTCCCGACTGGCCTGGGGGACATCAGTGGGCAGGGGCGCCTTCTGGGGCCTTGCAGGCCTGACCCTCACGAGCCACCTCTGCATTTTCCCTTTTTCTGATGGGAAGTTCATTTCCGAGTTGGCAGCTGATGCTGAATTCTTGCTGCTGTGTGTGTGTGTGTGTGTGTGTGTGTGTGCGTGCGATTGATTGACTCCTGAATTGTGCTGAGTATTTGTTATTTTTTGGGGATTATCCTTGAGCCCTTGGAAGGCACACAGATATAAGGCTGCTTCAAAATCCTTTCCCACTGGCTCCTTGAAAGGCTTGGGACCTCCAACCGGAGGTGATCTGCGTGCTTCTAGTCCCGAGATGCCCGTGGGAGGTGACAGTGCTGAGCGCTGCGGGTTCTGGGCGCGGGGAGGGTTCCGCGAAGCCCACGCGGGCCGGGCGGCTGTTCAGGAGGCTCCCCACTCCGCGGGCCGCGCTCGGGAAGGGCTCGTGTCTGCACTAGTCACTGCACTGCCCGTGGGGCCCGGCTGCGTGCCGACCGCGGGAAGAGGCCTAGCGTTCTGCGGGTCCCTCCAGGGCGTCCTGTCGGCCCCACTGTTGTGACTCACACCCCAGGAAACAGAAATAGCTGACCTAGAAACGTGCCAGTGGCCGCTCAGGGAGAGAGGGCCTCGCCCCCGGGCCTCTGTGCTCTGATTTCAGGCACAGGCTCGCGTGGATGGGCATCGCCCCCTCCCCCGGCAGCGTTGTGGGGTCGTACCCGAATCCGCTCCATTTCATAGAGGAGGAGACAGAGGCTCAGAGGGCCGAGGTCGTCCCGATGCCGCCACACCCTCCTTGGTTGGTTTTATTCCATCCGATAAGCGTGCCAGCCGTGCGGGGGCACCTGATGAAAGACGATGTGAACAGTGTGGCAAGCACATTTGCAGGTGGTGGTGTTTGTTTTGGTGCTGCGGGCCTCCATGCACCCTGGGCGCCGAGACCTCCCCGAGCCAGCCTCGGCCACAGGGGCGGACCCCTGATGCCACTTCAGGGTCCTCGGCTGGTGGCTCCAACCGCAGGGCTGTTTCCACAAGCCCCTCTCTGGAGCTTTGAGGTACAGACCCAGCGCCTCATTTCTAAGTGGATTTTGTAGGCTCACTGGGGGACAGAAGGGCACATCGGGCGTCCTGGGGGCAGAGACTCACTATCTGGGTCTTGAATTGGCTTGTGGCCTGGGCAGGAGGCAGGCTGCTCGGGGCCTGGGTGGGGGCTCCTCTGCCCACCGAGGGTCTCTGCACGGACTGAGTGTGGACATCACGGTTTCTTTTCCTTCCTGGGGACAGAGCCCTCGGCTGCCTCTCAGTGGAGGAGCAGGCTGGTGAGGCCACCGCTCCCGTCCCTGGAATAGTGCCCGGGGCCAGTGGGAGCTGGCCCTGGGCCCTGGCTGGGGATCTCTGGGGACCAGGCCTATCCCTGCTGGACCCCCCTTCCCTTCTCTGAATCTGTTCCTCCATTTCTAAAGGCAGGCATTGGAAGCTGTCCCAGGTTCCCATGGGTTCCACCATTAAATCTGCTGCCTCCTTCCAGCCCCCACCTTGGCCTGGCTTCTTGTCTCCCTGACTCGGGAGATGGGGTTCACCATCTTGGTGGAACTGGGGGTCAGGCAGATACTCTCTTTCCAGCACCTCGAGGGGCTGGAGGGGGATTCAAACTTGGGGACGTCAGAGGGGTGGGCACCTGCCTCAGGCCCAGCTCCGCTGTTCACGGGGTCCAATGCGTAGCGAAAACATGCCCCTCGTTGAAACTTCTTTAAGAATTTCAAGACAGTGACAGCACAGCATGAAACTGAGCACAGGTCTTTCTGAACGGGGGGCCCTGGGGGGCTGCTTGGGTCGCACGACATCCCACTGGCCCTGGCTGCCCAGTTGGGGCCACCTCGTGGGCACCATCACTGGGACGGGGGTGGGCTCACCCCACTGGGGGTCCCGAGCTTGTCCCTTGAGGGATGGATGGCTGTCGCTGGGGGCCTCCAGAATGGGCCATGTTCTGCACCCTTGGGTGGCGTTTCCTGGGTCAGGAGAGGGTGGCCCAGGCAGTGGGCTCAGGAGGGAACCCTAGGCAGCAGGGACTTGTGGGCGGTGACAGTGGCCTGAAGGACCGATTCGGTGTCCTCTCCGGATCTGCTTCTGGGAAGGAATATTTATTCATTTACTCTCTGACTTGTTCCTTCATTCACTCAACAAATACTGTGAGCGTTCGTTCTGTGCTGAGTCCTGGGAGTTCAGGGTGGAGCCAAGTGGACCACGTCCCTTCCGTGGTGGAACCTACAGACAGCAGCATCGAGGACAGGCAGGTCTGGGAAGCCCAGAGAGCTTGGCTTCTCTCACCGCGGTCACGGCTGGCTAGACCTGGGTGACGGTGTATCTGGGGAGTCAGGGCAAAGCCCGCCTACCTCCAGGGCTGGGGGGGCCAGGAGTGAAAAGAGGAGACACAGGGTGACCTAGGACCTGCGGGGTCTGTCCTTCCTTGGGCAGGCGTGGCTCTCAATCCTCGTCGGGGCATTTCTGACTGTCCGGAAGGAGTCGTGTGGGCGGGGGGCTCCGGCAACCTCGGGGCCGGAGGAGACCGTTGGCGAAGGCTGGGACGCAGAAGCCCCAGTGCCCTTCCAGATTCGTCTCCCACCCAGATCAAAGCACGCCAGAGCTGTGCTAACATACCAGCCACTGGAAGATGGTTCCTGGCATATTTCATTTCCAAAGCTGTTAGCTGGGACCCCCAGAAGGACGTGCCATACTTTTCAGTTCTTTGAAACGACTTTCAAAAAGTAATGAAAACGTGGGGCCCTTGCTCAAGCACGTGTGAGAATCGCGGGACAGTATCAGCAGAGCGGACGGTGGAGACCCAACCTCAGCTCAGCGGTTCAGAACCTGCTGGGGTGCTGGGTGCTGTATGCTTTCCCGCAGCGTTTAAGCTCGCTCTATTTTCTTTTTTTTCCTTTTTGATTAAATTTTTTAATGTTTATTTATTTTTGAGAGAGAGAGAGAGAGAGAGCGTGAGCAGGGGAGGGGCAGAGAGAGAGGGAGACACAGAATCGGAAGCAGGCTCCAGGCTCTGAGCTGTCAGCACAGAGCCTGACGTGGGACTCGAACCGCAAACCCGTGAGATCATGACCTGAGCAGAAATCAAGAGTAGGACACCCGATCGACCGAGCCACCTGGGCACCCCTAGGCTCTCTCTGTTTCAGTTCCTTCGCCTGCAGGTGGGGATAATGACAGGAGCTGCACGTGGGTCCCGGGTGAAAAGAAGGTTGATGTGCACGAGCCGAGTCAACCCAGGGGTTGTCCCTGCTGCCCAGGGGACAAGCGGATGCCAGCGAGCGTGGGCCAGAGCGTGGCTGCTGGCTCCGGCACCCTCACCCCCACGGAGGGAGCTGGGTGTCTCTTCCTCACTGTAGGGAACCTCAGTTCCCTGGGGCTCGGAGGGGCTGACCCCAAAGCAGAGGCTGCCTTCCGCTGCCCGCCGCAGAGAGAGGGGTGCCTGCCGGGCTCCCCCAGGGCTGACCCCTCTTGGGTGGCTCCTTGTCTCAGCGCCAGGCAAGGATGGCCCCCGGCCCTGGCTTCCGGAGCCCAAACCTCCCGTGGGTTAAGGTGGTGCCAGCAGAAAGATTCTGTCCGTCGCACGAAGGGTAGACGGTGTGTGCTCTTGATGGCAGAGGGGGGCCAGAGCAGGGGAGGAGACCCTCACCCAGGGCCCTCGCCTCCCCTGGCTTCATTGCCTTAGTCGTGTTAGACAGCAGGTGCCGTGCCCAGTGCTGGGACATAAGACGAGACACCGTCCCCTCCCCCGAAGGGCTCATCGTCCAATGTTCGAAAGAGACCCCGTGAGCCGTGCTGGAGGGGAGAGCGCAGGGTCTGGGAGGGTGTGGGGGGCACTGAACCAGAGGAGGGGTCTGGGAGACACCCAAGGTGTCAGGAGTGGGGGCGGGAAGAAGGTCCCAGCATGAGGAACAGCCCGTGCAGAGGCCCGGTGGGGCTGGCGCTCAGAACGAAGGGGGTGGGTGTGAGTGGAGAGACCCATCCAGGAGGGGTCCGAACGCCGTGCTGGGGCGTGAGCTCCCCACCCTCCGAGGTGTGCGGGCAGAGCTCAGCTAGCTGGGGCTTGATGAGGATGTTGGCTTAAGGATTTCACCCTGGATGGGCTGGATGAAGCAGACTTTGAGGTCCCTTCCAGCTGTCACGCTCTGGCTCCTCGAAATCCACTCCGGGAGCAGCGAGGCCATAAAATATAAATCAATAGGTTAAAAATACGCTTGTCTCCTGCTTGTCCAGGCCCTGTCACTCTGCCTGCCTCCCCGGGTCTTCAGAGGATTCCCGCTCGTCTAGGCAGCCCCAGCGCCTGGCAGGGGAAGGTGGCTTTGTTCCTGAGCGAGAGGCGGGGCCGTCGCGCCCCCGCCGCCGAGGCCTCCAGTCTGCGTTTGATCATTGCCGCCTCCAGAATGTGCGCCGTCCGGTCCCGGCTGGCACCCCCTCCTCCTATCTTCCCTGCTTTCATCGCCGGGCAGGGGAAGCTCAGCCAGACGGTGTCTGGGGCAGCCACGTCCCTGACACAGAGGAGGCCGTGCGGGGCGGGAAGGAACCAAACCCGGAGCCGGCCAGTGTGGTGACCCCAGATTAACCGGGCTAACGGCTCTGCTGGGAGTTTGTGGGAGTCCGGTCTCATGGCAACCGGGAGCAGCTAATAGAGACTGGCAGCGAGCGAAATGAAAGGTGATGTGTGGGAAGATGCACTGGCCAGCGAAGTCGCTGGGGACAAGGCGCTTTTCCCACCAGGCAGGCCAGTCCTCACTTCCTTTCTGTGGTGGTCCATCCGTCCGTGCGTCTGGAGGAACTTTCGGGTGCTTCTGAGCACGTTTATTTTTGTTATTACCTAACAGTTCCCTTTCCTGCACGGGGGTGAGGGGACACGGTCTCGTCGGGGGGGGGGGGGCCCACGCGCGTGATGATAGTTGAGGGGCCGCGAAGCAGCGTGTGCCCCGTCGATGATGTGCGGGCCGCCTGCCGCCTCGGCCGCCCTCGTGCGCCTTCCCCAGCCCTCCTCTGTTTCCGGCATCCTCCAGCTCTGGCAGGAGAGGGGCAGAGGCCCCTGCCTGCCCGTGTGTTGGGGCGGCCCCAGCAGGTGTTCTCGAAGGCCCTGGTGGGGACGAGGCCCCATCTCCCGAAGCCTTGTCAAACGTGTCCTCTGCCCGGCACTCTGGGACACTAGCTCGGCTGACCCTCTGACCATGGTTTGAGATTGTCTGGGGCCGAGTTTGAAGTTTTCCCGCTGAGGGGCGCCTGGGTGGCTCAGTCGGTTAGGCATCTGACTTCGGCTCAGGTCACGATCTCCCGGCTCGTGGGTTCGGGCCCCGCGTCGGGCTCTGTGCCTGCTTCGGATTCTGTGTCTCCCTCTCTCTCTCTGCCCCTCCTCCGCTCACGCCCCATCTCTCTCTCTCCGTCTCAAAAATCAATGAACATTAAAACAATTTTTAAGAATTTTTCCTGCTGAGTGCCAGCTACCTGGTGGCCCTGGCAGGATGGGGATGGTCCCAAAGTCACTCTGAGGATGGAGGGAGGTTGGGAGGTTTCAGGGCATACACTGGCCTTGTGTGCAGGCTGGCTGGGGCCTCCCGGGGAAGCCGACAGAAAGACCCGGGCCCCTGATGTGTACTGGGTCAGGGAACGTCCCCACATCCCTCTTTCAGAGCCTCGAAACTGGCTGATTTCTGCCTTTGTCTCTCTGTTGCCACCACAGGTGATCTTGATCCTGACGAAGTATTACCACGCCGACATGGGGAAGGTTCTGGAAAGTTCTCTGTGGCGGTAAGTCAAGCCGAGGGCGGGCCTCTCTCCTTGTGCACCAGCACTACTCCCGAGACTGAGGGCTGAGATCCAGACGCCCAGCTGGAGCAGCCCTGTGAGTTGGCGGCCTCGCGACTTTTCTTTGGCTACAAAATGCACGTAGGACACGGTGGAAAGCGACGGCGGGTTTCGGCAGTGGGCACAAACAGCACCGGAGAAAAGACGGCCCTTTAGAAAGCTCCTTCGCTCTCTTTTCTTTCTGTTTTTCCTCTCCCCCTCCCCCTCCCCCTGCCTTTTTTTCCTCCCCGAGGAAGAGGGTCTGCATTTTGAATTCAGGTCAGTGCACACATTCCCTCCGCTCACGCCCTGAACTTCAGACGAGAGGCTTCTGGAGTCCACCAAGTATGCGATTATCCTCATTGTTCAGACGTTTTTCTTTCTTCCTGGCTCAGCCGAAGAGCTTGGTAAATAAATAACCCACTGGCGACGGGGGATATCTCTTTCTATGTGAGATGTGAACTCAGTCCAAGAACATTAAGCAGCCCCTTTGATGTTTTAAATGAGGTGGGAGAGAAGGAGGTTTTGGAGAAATCATTTCGGTTACTATCATCTTCAATATTTACACCTGCTCACCCAGGGAGGGGGAAGGGAGGCTCCCGGGCGGCTGGGGCTGTCGTCTCAAAAGCTGTCCTCGGGCCACGACTGTGTTTCCTCCACGCGCTGCTTGCCACTCCCACGTTCCCTGGGTGTGCTGGACCGTTTTGTTTTTCAAGGTGTGTTTCTCAAGCACCAATTAATTCATTTTTTTCTATTTGAAATCCATAAAAAAAAAAACACCTCTGCCCGCTCATCAGGACTCCTGTATGTGTGCAGCCCCCTTGAGTTGATTTATTTTTGGCTCTTGGCTTTGCTTCTGGGGCAGAGGCTTGATGATTCATTCTGTTGGTTCTTGCTGGGGGATTTCCGTGATGCTCCGGGAAGGTGTTGAAATAGTACCTCCAGCTGGGTCCTTTCCTTCTTGTATAAGGAATGGGGGCGTCTTGGGGCAGCCGGGTTGGTCACCGGTGGTGCTGATGGGACCAAGCCTGGGGAGCAAGCAAACCACTCGTAGTGCCCTGCGTTTTTCTTACCCCTCCAGCCAGAGAGCCTTTCCTAGCCGGCTCCTCCCGGCCGTGGATTCGCGGGTTCGCCCTGCAGACCCTCCCCCCCGCCCCGCCCAGCCCGCCCCCCCCAGTCCTTCTGTCGGCCTCAGGGAGAGGGGTCAGCATCCTACAAAGAGGACAGCTGTTCTCCTGCCACACTCCCCCTCGTCATTTCGTCTTGTGCCTTGAAGCAGCTCACCCCCGAGGAGAGGTCCGAGGCTTGCTTTCAAAAGTCCCGCTCAGCGTGGCGGGGAGGCAGCTCGGCATTGGGGATGAGAGTGGACCATGGCGTGAGCGCTAAAGCTCCCGCCACCTCTCACTGCGGCCCTCTGAGGGTTTCAGGGCGAGGCCCTGGGACGGGCTGGCCCATGGAGGGCGTTGCCTCTTGCTAGGTGGATGGTCCAAGGAGGTCCCCCCGGGGCTGCAGAGTGAACAGGGGCACTTGGCTCTTCTCTTGGCCTTGAATTCTGGGCAGCATCCCATAGTAGCCGCCTCGCTGGCCCCAAATGCTGCACACCAGCCACGCCCTGATGGGCGGGCGGGCTCTCCCTGCACCGGCTGCACTCGCTGACCATCCGGAATGCCCGGTTTCCCTCGCTCCCTCCAGCATCTCCGTGGGCTGCGCTCGGAAACGGGAGGTCATAAATGTTGCTGGAACTCCTTCCCGGTGCCATCTGTGCCCACAGGACAGAGCTGTGGGGTATACGTAGGGCTTGCTGCCCACCCTTATGGGGGACGCGGTGGGGACGGGTGGATTTGGGCCACCCCGTGGCACGGGGGCCGGGAATTTTTGCTGAAGGGCTCCAGACTCCCGATTCTTCAGATGTGGCTACAGCAGCCGAGAGGGAGGCCAACCACCCACCTCAGGGCTGCTCCAGCAGGGGGGGGGGGGCTCTGTCCGCTCTGTCTCCGCCTGGGAGAGCATGAAGGCCCGGCGAGGTGACACGAAAGGTCCCCAGAACGGTACACGGTCTCGATTTAGTTTTTCTCCGAAGCAGATCAACAGACCAATTCTCCATGTTCTTTCTCATCACTGTCTCTGTGCAGGCATTTCCTCTCCTTTATTAAAAATACACGCAAAGGCGTTAGTCACGTCAGGAAGGATCACCCCAGCCCCACCCGTTACTTCCGGCGTGGAGCCATCACATCCTCTGTGTATCTTTCTCTCGCGGACGTATTTATATAGTCAGACGTGGAAGAAAGTTCTGCGTTCTCCTTTCTTCACACATCTGTTTCCAGTTTCTCGAGGTTGGACCGCGTCCGCATCAGCGCTTCCTGTGGCCGCGGACTAGCCCTTGGTGGGTTCGTTCTGACACGGGGCCGTGCCGCTGCCGTAAAAAAAATGTAGGCGTGTGGTTGTCCTTCTCCTTCTGTTCTCTGGGCAGAAGCCCGGGGGGTAACGACCGAGCCGGAGAGTGAGCGGAAGGCCGGCCGGCCCGCTGCGGGCCCCCGAGCGGGCGGCACTCTGGCCCGCGCCGTCTAGGCCCCAGCGGCCGCTCCCGTTTGAGTCCCTTTGGTTCCCGGGGAGCAAGAGCAGCGTCTGTGTTCGACTGCCAATCACGTTTTCCTCTTGCGAGCATTTTCAGCCCGTGTCCCCTCTACCTTGGCACCTGCGTGAGTGTCTTTGGAAGTGGAAAGGTTGCCACTGGTCTTGCGTGGGGATGCCACCCCGCCTCCGTCTGCTGGTCAAGGCCCACGTGGATGGGCGCTGACAGAGCCCGTGCCTGGATCGCGCGGATTAGAGAGTCACTCGGTGGACGCGCCCTGAGCCTCCCCAGGGTTCTCCTGTGCGGTCCCCGTGAGTCCATTTTTAAGGACAGGTATGGTATTTACATTCTGGAAATGGCTCTCTGAAACATAAGCCGAGTGCATTTTTAATTGTCCTGCATTTCAGGGGCCCCATGTCACCCCGTCCGGTCTTCAGGGTGGGGCCGTGCCCTCCACTCTGGGGAAGGGGCACCGGGAGGGAGCGAGGCTGCCCCCCACCCTCCAGAGAGCCTCCAGTTGGCTTCAGAGCTGATCCTGTGCGGGCACCTCCCATCTTGGGTTCCCAGGGCTGATGGCAGCAGGAGGAACACACTCACCCAGACCAGCCTGCCTGACGCTTGCCCGATGTCCAGTCTGTGCGAATGTCCTGGGGCTGCTGGAACGAAGGACAAAAAGTAGGGACTTTAAAGCAACAGGAACTTGCTCTCTCATGGCCCTGGGGGCTAGAGTCTGAGATCAAGGTGTGGGTGGGGCCGGGCTCCCCCAGGATCCTTCACGCCTCTTCCAGCTCCTGGGGTGGGGGTGGGGGCACATGCCAGTCCCTGCCCCCAGCTTTGGCTTCAGACGGCCTCTTCTATGTGTGTCTGCCCTGTGTGTGTGCCTTATGAGGACACTTATTGTTGGATTCAGGGTCCACCCAGGTGATCCGGGGTGATCTCATCTCTAGAGCTCTGACTTAATGACATCCACAACGACCCCTTTTCCAAATAAGGCCATGCACAGACTCTGGAGGGAGGTCGTGGACACATCTGCTTGGCTGTGTCATTCAGCTCACTGCACGGTCCTCACCCCTGGGCTGCACTGCCCGGATCTGACTTCCTAAATGGCTCTTGCCCCTGTCACCCCCTCTCCATCCTCACCTGCGTTCCCTTGCTGCCTCTTCATCCTTGGTGGGGTCCTGTAGCCCCTTCCCAGCTCCTCCCCCGCTGCCCCTCACCGCCCCTCCAAGCCTCGCCCCTGCAAGGCCCCAGGGACTTGAGATGCACACGCGCCCACAGTCTTGCCCTGCTCCCTTGTCCCCTGGTGGCTTCCCAAGACTGATACCTGTGCATCCCGCCCTCCTTGTCCAGGTGTAGGGGTGGGGGATCCAGTGGGCAGAGCCAGAGGCTGTAGGGGCAAGTATAGGAGAGCGTGGGCACGCACGGTCCCTCTGAGAGTTGATGTGCAACTTGTATCTATTCCACGGTGGGGCCATAGCGGTTGCGAGGTAAAGATAAAGAGCGTTTGGAATTACTATGGACGTGATCTGTAAATGCTCTTGTGCCCCCACACCCGGCCTGCAGGAGGATGTCGCCTGGTTCTTCCCCTGGTTCAGGGCTGTCCCTCCAGGTTCCCAGGGGCAACCCTTCGGGGGTTCCCAGGACACTGCATTATCCATTGGAAAATTGAGACCACTCCCAGGCAAAGGGACGAACGGGCACCCCTGATACAGATTGGAGGCAAAGTCCCCGGCTGGTGCTGCCCGGGCCCCCGCGGCCTGGAGCTGGGACCCTCAACTGTCTGCTTGATCGGCCCCGTTCCCTGCAGGAAGCCTTTGAGACACTGTTCTCCTAGGTGCCCCTCCGCCCACGACTGTATTTCTGTTGAAGTTCAATGTGACCTGCGCCTTGTACATAAAAACGTAAGATCCTTCGCACCCTTCGAGAACCAGTTTTTGCCCCTTGAGGGCAATTTTGTCCCTGGTTGAAAATCCACATCCTGAAGAAGAGCCTCAGGGGGGAGGGGGTCTTGTTAAAATTCAGATTCTGATTCCTGGGTCGGGGGTGGGGCCCGGGGCTCCGCATTGTTAACAAGCCCCTAGCGATGCTCGAATTGCTGGCCCACTGAGCACACTTGGAGTAGCAGGGCCCTGGCTCATTCCGGGGTCACCTGGGGGCCTCAGCATCGCCCGATGTCTGTGCCCGACCTGGGCCCGCATTTGGCCTGGTCTGGGCTACGGCAGGCACGGCTCCGGTGTCCAGCCTGGGCTGGGTCTTGGGAGGCCCATTTGGTGTCACCACCGCTGAATCCCAAACGGCCGGTGAGGCTCGGCTGCCTCACAGACGCCGTCAGGAAGGTAACTGCAAGCCATCGAGGTTTGAGCCACATGCAGATAGTAGAAAATGGGTCCTC